TATGGTTGTGGGGGTCGATAAGGTTGCGGTGGTCGGTAGGATGATTGGTTGGCAAATTATTAAAATTCTTCCTTGGTGGTGGAGGATTGTAAGAAGTACCTTGTGAAGGGGGTCTCCATGAAAAATTGGGGAGATTTTTCCATCCGGAGTTATAGGTATTGAAATATGGGTCATTACTCGGGTTGAAGAATCCTTGAGCCGCATTCACATGCTCTTGGACTAACTCTGGAAATTATGATGCCGAAGGGCACTCACTCATCATGAGCAGGGCTCGCACATATAGCACATGCCTCGTGAAATTGAGGCTGATCTTGTTGTGTAGGGGCATGTCCCGCAGCTAATAATTGGTCCATTTTGCAGGACAATGCCTCTACTTGTTGGGCTAACTCCAGGTTTTGCCCGACCTCATAAATGTCCCCTCTCTTCGGGGCTCCAACTATTGGTTGCCGGACTTGCTGGGTTTCGTAGGCTTGGTGAAGGGAATTATCACTTAGGTTCTCAAACAATTGCTATGCATCGGCATCATTTTTGGACATTAATGTCCCACCACAGGATGAATCCACCATTTGGCGGTGCGACTCAGTTAAGCTATAATAAAATGTTTGAACAAGTTGTCAATCAGGCACTTGGTGGTGGGGACACTGTTGGAAAAGGTCATGAAGTCTTTCCCATGTCTCATGAAATTGCTCGCCATCAATTTGAGCAAAATTGGTGATGGCTCGCCTAAGTTGGTTGGTTTTACCTATGGAAAAGTACTTCTCCAAGAACCGCTGCTGTAATTGGTCCCAAGTTGTGATTGAATTAGCAGGTAAGGAATTCAGCCAGTGTTTGGTTTTATCCTTTAATGAGAATAGAAACAATCGCAACATTAAGGCCTTATTTGTGAAATTCTAGATCCTCAATGTCGATCAAATTTTCAGAAATTCATTCAAATGTTTGTAAAGATCATCATGAGCTAGTCCATGGAATGATGGGAGCATTCGTATGGTGCTGGACTTAATCTCATAATGAACAGCAGTGGTATTGGGTAATTGGATGCATGATAGTGATGTATATGCAGTGGGTGTGAAATAATCCTTAAGGGTCCGGTTGGGCACATTCGGGACATTTGGATTTTCCATCTCTAATGGTTCAATGTATGATTATGAATATTCAAGCCTAGAAACACGGGCAGAGGCTCTAAGTCTCCTAAGAGTCCTTTCTAGTTCAAGGTCCAAACTCTACAATTCAGGGCGACAAGAACGGCGCCTGTGCATACACTACTCACACATATACAAAAAGTTCCGACTCTGTGCTTAAGTTACGAAAGCAAAATAACAAAGGGAGAAATACTCACAGCGGTTTAACAAAAACGCTTTACTCTTCTTGTGGGTGCTTGACGTGTAGATGTTGTCTCCAACCTCTAGTTAATCTTTGTCTTTCTTTTTAGCACTTTGATGCTTTGCTTGCGAGTGTTTGCTTCTATTTAAGCACTTTAGTGCTAAGGTTTTTTTTTTTTTTTTTTTAAGCTCGGTTGCGCTCCGCTTGCACTTCGGTGATAGTTTTCACTTTCAAATGCTTTGAACACTTAGCAACACGAAAGCATAAAATCCTAAACTAAAAATTAAAATAAGAATATAACTTTAAATTAATTAATTTCGCCAGAAGACCCCAGCAACGACGCCAAAATTTGATGGGTCGTTACACACACCAAAATTAAACACAAAACTACACCAAATTCTTTTAGAATAATGGCAAGTCTAGGTATCGATCTACAGGGACAATTGTGAAATTAAACTAATTTAATTATTAAATTCCTAAATTAATTTTGATGAAAAGATTGATTGTTCATAACCTAATTTAATAACAAATAAATTAAACTAAGTAATTAAAATATCAATTATAAATAAAATTGGATTTACTGATTTGGGGAAAAACCTAGGGTAAAGAGTCCACCACTAGTCATGTAAATAGGGTTTCCAATTGAAATCAATTATGTTATGGTTCGAACGGGATACTGCTTTGCAACTACAAGTTCAAAGCATTTAACAAGAAAATCATCACGTTCAATATACAAGCACAAACCATCTCAAGTAATACGAATTGTTCACTCTAAACTAGGGTAGTGACACGACTCGTCCCTGGTAGTATGGTCCGTCTCATACCTTGAATGTGAAAGAATAGAAAACTCTTGTATGGAAAATATTCAACAATCACAGAAAACCGAATATTTGAAGTAATAATGGAAAATATATATAAAACTTCTAAAACACCATACAATTGTTCAAACCTTTACATAATTGAAAATCAAAAAGAAAAACCTAATTACATGGCTAGGGTTTCATCAAAACCCAAGAAAAGAAGACTAGCCACTCATGGAGAAGTGGGAAGATGAAGAAGATGAGGAAGAAGACCCCATGGAAGTGTCCTTCAAGCTTTTTGAAGAAAATCACCTCTTGGAACCCTAGCCTCTCTTTCCTTGCAAAAATAATTTCAAAACCCTAATCCAGCCCTTTTCTTGCCTATTTATACTTCTAATATCTTGCAAACAGGTTTAAAATATCGAGCCTGTTTTCCCAGAAAAGTCAACGCATGTGCGAGAATCTATTTTCTCTCCAAATTCTGTCTTTTTGCCCATTTTATGCTCCGACTATGTATAACCTTGACATTAAACACATAAAATATACAGTTTGACAAGCAAGTAAAGTTAAAAGATCCTAATTAACGGCCTCAATGTTTCACAATTTGACCTTAATCATATATTAAATTTTATTAAAATTTTAATTCACATAATACTGAGTACCCTTTTTATTAATAATTTCTTAGTCATATATATGAAAAAAAAAATGATATTTTCATATCTTTTATTTTATCTTATGTTGTCACACTATCTATATTAGTTACCGTGTATTCAACTTTACTTTAAAAATTTGGTATGATCATAAGGTTGTTTTGAGTATAATTTATAGGTTGATTTTTTAATTATTATAAAAAAGAAGTGTTAAAAAAAAAAAGAAAAAAAGGAGTATCAGTTCTGATTTAAAAACCTTATTATATGTATATTTTTTTTTAAATTAAGAAAAATTAATAATTTATCTTAAATATATTATTTAGAAACTCTCCAAAAAGAGGAGTACCAGTTCTGATTTGTTTTTGACTAGTTTTTGTGTAAACGATAAATGCAAAAAACATGAAACCCCGACTGCTAATCTAAACAAGAAAGACAATCTCACATTGAGGGGTATTTTGAAAAAATAGTTAAAAGTTGATTTTTTAGTTTTTTAACTCTTTTTTGTGAGAGAAGAAGTGGGTTAAAAGTTGAGAAGTAACTTTTAACCCACTTTTCAAAATAGGTCTGAACTTAAAAGTGCGTCATACAAGTTTAGAATGTTTATTACATTTATCTTTTATGAGATTTGGAATAATAAAATAAAAAAAAATTGAATTTTTTTTTAATGATCCATGATATTAAGATTTTATAAGATAAAAGACATACAATATTTTTATAATAATTGGGATCCCTCTACATTTTCACAGAAAAAATTCAACTCAAACAAATTTGTGCCCGACTCAAAAAAATTTCGGCTCCAACACAAAGAAATTTCTCTGGTATGATCACAAAAAAATTTCATCAAGGAACCTTAACTAATAAAAAAAAAATCTTAAATCTCTTCTACAACACAAAGTTAGAGAGGAATATTTCATTAGTTTTTCCAAATTTTTTTACAAATTTAATATAATTATATTATTTCTTTTTTTTTTTAGTAAGATTAAAGAAATCAAAATTAATACAAAAAGTACGAATATACTTATAAAATAGTAAAATATTTATTTCAACATAAAAAATATGATAACATTATTTTTGTCTATATTAATAATGAATTATTGATGAAAATGAGTTAAATGTTACGTATTAAAACTTTAAGAAGTTCAACATAATTATGCCAAGTTTATAAAATTTATCATATTTTTTCTAAATCTTAAGAGAGATCAAAGTAATTTACTCATTTTTAAAAGTTTTATATTTAATTATTACCATATGCAAAACAAGTAAGCTTAATCAATTTCAGTAATTTGTGAGTTATTGAGCACATTAAAAATTTATTTATCAAATCTTATACCAAATGACAAGACCAGCTGATTAAAGTTCATCATAAAAATACATAAATAATAAAAAAATATTTAAATGGCAAGGTTGAAGCCAAATTTTAAAATGGTATAGTTCAAAATATCATAATTTGCAAATGTTGCAAATGTTTTTGCTATTTTCTTCACAAAAAAATAATTATAAATTTAATTTATAGACCTCATAAAAATAAAATAAAACATATTATTCAAATGGGATTAGGGTTATGAAGGTTTATATACACAAGGTTGATATCCTATACTTTGAGTTGCAAGGCAACAAAGTTCTATATATGTTTATAAATAAACCATTGGTTCGGTTCCAAATCAAAACCCTGATTTTGAACAAAAGAACCGAAAAACGACCAGCGGTTAACCTAATTTGAAATGGACCTGTTTATGATTTTTTCAATTATTCTGATCAGCCCTAAATATAACTAAGTTAGCAAGAAAACAATTACATTCATTCCCCTAAAACCTCTTCATGGGCTGTTACTATGACTTTGCCCAATCTACAAACAAAAAAACAGCTCCACCTTCCCCGCTGCCAAGAACGACGAAGGGACGGGAAACTTCCATGTAGGTTCTAATAAGTGAATTTATTATTTAATAAGTCTTATGAGAATTAATAACATTTATTATTAAACACTATTAAAAAGTCACTAATTGTTAATTTTTAACAATAATTTATACATTGTATATCAATAATTATAAATTTTAGCAACAATTTAATAAAATGCCACAAAAAACGTAACCAATTTTTAACTTTTCAACAATAGTTTGAAAATTTTGTTATAGAAAAACGTTAGTAATTGTTAATTTTACCAACAATTTATAAAAATCGTGACAAAAAAATTTACTAATTGTCAATTTTTAGTGACATATACAAAAAATCGTCACTAAAAATTATTTTAACAATGATTTTATTATGATTTATTTTTTATGAGAATTAAATCCAACTATTAAGATTTATTAATAATTTACACAAGAAGAACTATACCAATGAAATGTTAAAACATTTTGAGTTAGCTCGGACTTCTTCTAATCTGTCGAAAGGATCTAGTGAAAATCCCCTCCATCATTTCTGCGAGGCGTCTTTGGTCATCCGATCCAGGTGAATCGCAATCTGTCAAAAACGATTGTGTGATGTCAAGTGGATCTGTATTGCGGCTTTGAATAGTTGGCTCTCCTCCTACAGCCCAAAGAATTGCAGCAAGAACAACAACACTGAGCTGAAATATTAACCTCAGATATCAGTTTAACAGTAAGAATAACAAAATAAAATTTTATATGGTTTTTGTTTTAGTTTTGGAAGAACTCTAAAAACTTGTTTGACGAACTGTTTTGGGAGAAAGTTTCATCCTTTTACGAAACATCAGAAGAAGAAAAAAAAAAAAGTGATTTCAAATTTTTGAAAACTAGTGTTTTCACGTAAAAATGAAAACAATATGAAACATGGTTGTTTGCAACACTTATCCATTATAAACAACATAGTGATTATAGCACTAACCATCATATTCACAAAATTAACCATTCCATCACAATTTCCTACACTGAAAATGTATAAATTGAACACATATATACATATAAAGTTTTCATTATTTAAGACATAAGACAGTGGATACCTGAGCCACCAGAACTAAAATTGCGATCAAGCGACACAAAACAATATGGAAGAGAAGGAAGCTCTTGAATTCTTTATAGTGCCCATGAATGTACTTGATAATTTGCTGTCACAAAACAGACCAAAAAAGAGAAGTATTTATGAGAGAACACAAATTAATTAACAGCCACATAACAAAAAAGAGTGCATTTGGAAGCAATGGCATGAAAGAATGACTTAAAGCCACCACCAATACACCTAATTATACGAGTGGCACGTCATTTTGAGAGAGCTCCCACTTTGTAGGACAAGTTGATTAAAAATCAACTTTGCTTGATGAGTTTCAACGATTTTTTTTAAAGATAATGTCATTAGTTCTCTATCATCGCAAGAAATTAATTGAAATTAACAACAACTAAGCAGGGATTTTGACACGACAAGAAGAAAAAGGATTGAATGGATTAACTCCTCAACATTTGGTGATCTCAGATCAGAAGTGTCGATGGTGACTCACATAAAGAATTCAAACAACTTCATATACAATATGTCAAGAAGTACTGCTTGTGGAACCTCAATATCCACGGGCTTAAAGGGTCAAATGGGCTTTTGGGGTAGAAGAGCTTCAACCCTCAACTGTAAACTTCAACCCTCGACTGTAAATTTCAATCAAAGATCAAGCTGTGTCCGTATTTCACAGCAAACATTTCCAATGGGAAATTTCTCCGAGACTATACAACATTAAGATGGTTTAGTTAAAAGGTGAATATGTGGTAAGACTAGAAAAGACAAAGTTAGGAATGAGTATATTTAAGAATGAGTAGAAGTAGTACCGATAGAAAATAAGTTAAGAGAGAATAGATTGAGATGGTTTAACCATATACAACGGAGACCAACAGTAACCGTAGTGAAGAGATGCGATACAGTAACGGTACATGATAGTGTTAAGAGAAGGGATAGACCTAAATTAATGTGGACTAATATAGTAAATATAAATATGAATCTCCTTAACTTGACTAACGACATAGCCTTGGATAGAGTCGAGTTGAGAAGAAGGATTCGTGCAGGCGATCCCATTTGATGGGACTTAAGACTTGGTTTGATTTACACTCTAAAGAAAAGGTACATAGAACTCGTAACAACGTTGAAGTCATTCTTTCTTAGTGTCACTACCAAGCACACCTTATTTAATGAGCACAAGAACACGTACTGATTCCCAGTCAATTCTGAATAAAATCGTGACAATAACTCCCACTTGGATTAAAAGAACAGAGAAGATTGAGACAATATACTTCAATATCTGGTTAAGTGTAACACTGCATGACTAAATCACATATACAGAAAGAAAATAAGAAGAAGAAAAAAAAAAGAGAGAAAGGATACGACAGCAAGTGTGGATTTGTTGATACAGTTTGCAACCATATGTCCTGAAAGAGTGCTCAAGCAGACAACAATCCCAATACCTAAACATACATAGATGAACCTGTTGATAGGAGCTACAATGTCAAATGTCATTTCGATGTGAAAATCAAACAAAATATATATGTTATATAAGCAATGCTTGAAAAGAAAAATAAAATGAAACGAGTCTTTCTTCAAAAATCAAGACAGATCGTTGAGGGCCGGGTCAATTCAAATTAATCTCATAGCCATGAAATAGAATTTCCCAACTCAAATTCATCTAAAGCTTTTAGTCCTAACTAAGGCTGTATTTGGTTGGAGGATTCGATGAGAGAAATGAAAAGGAAAAAGAAAATGTAATCTGGCTTTTTGTTTGGTTATAATAGGGAAATGGAATGTAAGAGAGAAATGCAATCCCACTTTCTATTTTTTGGGTTCATTTTTTTTTTTAAATTTTCCAAATCAACGAAACATAGCTTGAAATTCGAATCCTATCAATTCTTTTTCATTTTCTTTTCATTTTTATTTCCCTCATCAAATACTCCAACAAAACACAGCTTAAAGTTTTAAAAAAATGATAGGAAAACAACAAATTACACAACACAAATGAGATATTATTAGCCAACACAGCCTAAAGGTTAAAAAAATGATAGGAAAACAACAGATTACACAACACAAATGAGATATTAGCCATGTTTGGGGAGTCGGTTATTTAATTTAATTTAATTTAATTTAATTTTTTTTGACTATTTTACTTTGGCAAAAATAATTGTGTTTAAAAAGTTGATTAGTTTTTTTTTATTTGACTTGATGGTTGTGAAAGAAAAAATAAAATGATTATGAATTTGATATGATATTTTATTTTATTAATTATTTTAATTTATTTTATCTTTTAATAAGGTATTTTAATCCAACTACCCTTTCCTAACACCACCATTGAAAAAACGAAATCCCATGAAAATTGATTGGATTTCAAGGGAATTGAATTTAGTAAATCTTATTTATTTTTTTAATTCCCTACTAGAGGCATCACCATCCACATAATTTTTCCCTTTCCAATTCCTCATTAATCCAAACAGAAAAATGAAATACTTCCTTTCCAATTCCAATCAAGCACTGTAAAAAAAATTCTCCAGAGAGAGGGAGAGAGAGAGAGAGAGAGAAACTTGAAAGACTTTAATGGAAGAACAAATACGAATAATAAAGATATGTGAAACAGCAATACAGTTAAAACCCAGATGAGAGCATTGTTCTGAATCAGTGATAAAGCAACTAATAGACTCTGAGAGAGAGAGAGAGAGAGAGAGAGAGAGAGAGATACCAAGGTCTGGGAAGATCACGAATAGAAGGAAGAAGAGAAACCCCATTATTCCACTTCTTGAGCAACCAAAGGGAATAAATAATGATCCCAACTCCAAACAGATTAACAATGACATTCACAATCCTCATAGAGTTGTACAAGCAATACCTGATCATCATTCTTCTCAACCTTCCTTCTGCAATATAATACCAACACACCCACACCAATCACTCACCACCATTTTTGAGCTTCCTTTGTTTTGGGTTAAAATAAATAAACCCTATGCAAACAATATAATTTTCAATGTGACTGTGGATCTCTTTAACTTCAAAACAAACATATTATTGAAAATTAATTTATTTACAAAAACCACATTGTCATATTTTGTGGAAATTTTTGTATGACTTTTTAATATTTCAAAATAAATTTATTTCCACACAAGCAAATTTTTTATTTTATAAATAGATAACAATAGGATTAATTACAGCTTTCACCTTTAATTTGATTCAAAACTTATTTTAATTTTTAAAGTTTTAATTTGAATAATTTATTCTCTATTCTTTAAATCTAATTTTAATTTGATTATTTTACCTACGTTTCTATTAATTTTCTTTGCGTGCACATCTTAAAAAATTGTCAAATGTTTCAAAATTATTAATTTTGACTTTCAATTTGAACGAAAAAATCAAATTAAAATTATACTTAAAATATAGGGATCAAATTATTCAATTTGAAATAATTTGAAACTATAGTAATTAAATTAAGGGGTTATTTGAAATGAACTATATAAGTGCACTTTTTGACTTTTTGGGATTGTTTAGAGTGTCCTAAATAAGTGTACTTTTTGTCTTTTTGGACTAAAAAATTGAGGAAGAAAATATAGATGTTTGGGTTAACTTTTTGACTTTTTATTTTTAACTTTTTATGAAAAAATATGTATTAAAAAATTGTATAAATTAGTGAGTAGGGAAAAATTAAGATTGAGAGTTGTACAGCTGTAATTGTTGACTTTTGGTGAATAGTGTTAACTTTTTAACTTTTTAAGTAACTTTTTGACTTTTTAGCTTTTCTACAATATGCCAAACTTGGCCAAAAAGTAGAGGGAAAAAAATATGATTGTTTGAAATAACTTTTTGACTTTTTACGAAATATGTGTATTAAAATATTGTTCAAAATAACAAAATTACCAGATTACCCCTAATGCCCCTAGGCGTGTACTGATAGTGATTGTTTAGGAAGCCAATTAGCTGCGTTGTTTTGATGTTGTGCGGTGGACTGGACGATGCTGTTCAGCCCGTGGGGTCCTACCACAGATCCCGTTTTAATAATCCGAACTATTAAATATGTAGAACTCATCGAATACTATACGGTTGTGAAAAATCAAGTTGATCGGATATCGATATCATTGGATCAATTTTTTTTCAACTGTTAATTTAGTCACCGTCTATTTTTTTTATACAAAACTGATTTGATCATATAGCTATCGATATCCGATTAACATAATTTTTTACAAGCATATAATAGTCGATGGGTTCTACATATTGAACGGTTCAGATAATCAAAACGAGACCCATGATCGGCCCCCACGGGCTGAACAACACTGTCCTGTGTAACTTTTTTATGCACCACCTATGTAAATTTGTACCATCACTTCATAGTGTACCATCACTACAGTGGCCACAGTTGACTTGTACTTTTTTCTGTGTAAATTTATTGTTTTTATATTTATTTTTTTTGTGAATAATAATAATTTTTTGACTTTTTAAATAACTTTTTGTCTTTTATAGATTATGCCAAACAATTAAATTTGAATCAAACTACAAAAAATGAAAAGTGTAATTTGCACTAAGTAGTTTAATAAAAAAAATGATTTAAAAAGATGATTATTTCACGAGTTTGATTTACAAATTAGGTATATATATAAAAAAAAAATTGAAAAAAAAAGTTAAAAATAAACTCTCCTTTTTTATAAAAATACAAAGAATTAAAAAAAAATCTTATTTTGCATGTTTTTTTTACTTATACATCTAAACATGATATTCTTTTCTTCCTCAACTTATAAACCAAACCAACCGTACATATTGGAAAATATGTTCAACTTCTACGAAAACAAAGACATTGAAAAATAATTTTTATTTTTGTCTAAACAAATAGAACATAAATACTAATTGGATATATCTTTTTAGACTTTGAAGTGCTGGTATATCGAGAGAGAGAGAGAGAGAGAGAGAGTTACATACCAACAGGCAGGCCCGAGAGTTGTCAGTAAGCAGCTAATCAGGAAAGGAAAATATAGGACAGGCAGATTCGCGTTCATACATAAATACATTCCATTTGTTGGAGTGAGGTGAAAGTGGGGGAAGGTTGGAACGTGGGGAGGGAAACAAGAATTGTTTTGAATGTTAGATAGATTTTGGAGCAAAGTGGATCCACAAAACGTTGAAACTTTTGCACCTACCATTCACAGAATTTTAATACCTTGCTTGTTTTTATTTTTCGAAAAATACTTTTCAGAAAATTTTATTTTATTATTTTTTATATTTTTTTATTTTTATTAAATTTTTTTAATATTTTAAATAATTTTTTTACTTTTTAGACACACCTAACATAAATATACCTAAAAAGTAAAAAAATTATAAAAAAAATCTTTTAAAAATTCACTAAATATCAAAAATACAAAAAAAATATAAGAAGTCAGTACATTTTTTATATTTTTATATATTTATTAATTTTTTAAAATATTTTTTCACAAATTTTTTACTTTTTAGATACATCTAAGTAAGGTGCATTTAAAAAAGTAAAAAAAAAATGTTTAAAATTTAAAAAATATTTACTAAAAACAAAAAAATACGAAAACCAAAAAAATCAGTTTCAAAAAACTTAATCCAAAAAATTCAAACCAAACACACTGAATAATATTGGATTATTATTTTTAAGGGCGAATTTCATTAAATGAAGTGTCATTTTGGGAACATAGTAAAAAGCCACGTTTTTAGATAAAATGTCCAAAAACGTGGCTGTCAAAAACGCAACAAAATCCATTTGGAAAGTGCCAAAAACGCAGCCCTAAAATTACAAATTAGGACCTATGAAAAAAAATAAAAATAAAAAATTTCTTATGTTGGGTAAGGATATTTTGGTCATTTTAATTTGATTTGACAGTATAAATAAATATTAAACTAAAAAGTAAAAAGTCAGTTTTTTACTAACTTCTCAAATTACTTCCAAAAAAGCCAAAAAACTTGGTAAAAAGTCAAAAGTCACCTTTTTACCAACTTCCCAAAACAACCCGAACTCTGTAATTTAAAATTTGTGTTACTTTAGTTTTTGATATTTTAATTGTGATATATTTGATTATAAATTTTGAATTTCGTTCTAAATAAAAATAATTGAAAATACTATTGTTCTATTTTAAAGATAAAATCGTCAATTTGATAAAAATATAAACAGGTTTCATTAAAAAAAAATGTCAAATAAATATTTTTAAATTTTTAAAAATTATTTTTACTTCCCAAAGATAAAATTATATAAAAGTGATAAATCTTTTACATTTTTTATTTTTGTACCAAATTAATTTTTAGTATGTGTTTAGATGATAATGATGTAATATGTGGTTGTTTTTGTTAATATTTTTGAATAGTTATCATATAATAAATGGTTGTGTTTATTATTAATAGATATTTTTTTTATAATTATCATGTAATGGATAATTAGGAGTTATTTGGAATGTTCTAAATAAGTGCACTTTTTGACTTTTTGTGAAATATATGTTAAGTTTGAAATGATATGATAAAGAGGTGATGTGACTTAAATAGGATAGTAACTTTTTGACTTTTTAATTTTTTTCAAAATATGCCAAACCGGGCCTTGTTAGGCTTTGTGATCGATATTTTAATATAAGAAATATTTTTAGTTTTGAATTTTTTTTTATTTAATTGATTTGATTTAACAATAATATTAAAATTGTCATCATATTTAATTTTTTAAAAAATAAAAACTAATTTAATGAAAATAAATTTTAAAAAAATTATTCCTACCCTCCCAACAGATAAAATTATATAAAAATAATAAATTTTAAATTTTTTTCACCAATTTAATTTTTAATTTCTTAGAGAAAAAAAAAATTGAAAATAGATTTTAAAAATCAAACCAAATAGAACTTTATAACTAAAAAAATTTTAGCATAATTTATTAAAAAAATGTCATTCCAATTTAAACAATATATAAATTAACCAACCCAATACAAAATAAGTTGTATAACGACTGCCCTTAAAATAGACCGTTTGCAAAGAAAACATCTTTGATTGTCCTTGTTTAAAACAAGATTCAAAATTCAAAATATAATGTACCACAATTGAAAAATTAAAAATTAAAATAGCACAAATTTCAAACTAGGAGAATTATTAGTGTAATTTGCCATAGGTTTAATTTTGATTATACGTTGACTCTGTCCGATTAATGATATTGGTACAACATGTTGAATATTATCTAATGTATTACAAATATATCGACCTCACGCCTTGTTGTCGTGATTGTCACGAGTCATATGAAGCAACCTATCAAATGATTATTCAGTCTTCGCAATTCAGTGCAGGCGATAACACTAGAGCATCAAATAAATCAACCTATCATGATTATTTCCAAACAAAAATTAGTACCCGTTGGTTGGAGAAAACAAACCTCTAACAAACAGAGGAAAGGAACAGGATCGTCCGTACCTTGTCACAATATTTAAATATCTATCATTATATCGCAAAACGTCACTACATACACGATACGACATCGGCATGACTCTAAGAAACACTGAATTCTGGAAGGTAACAATGAAAATAAAATCACTACATGGAAGAGAGCATAGCAAGTTGATATTACAAAAGGATTTTTGCAACTACAACGAACCTTGAGTCTCAGCGGTGCATGCATTTTCAAACAAATAATATTTTCCCCGCATACAAGCAATAAGATGAAAACTACTAATATTGTAAGAACTTGGCAAAATGCCCCAAGGAGCGACACTACAAAGGGAAGGGAACAAAAGTACCTTCCAATTATAATAAAAACTTGCACAAGGCATAGAGGTGTATCCTAATACAGATACGATCGACTCAGTCCAACTTTATCCTGTCCATATCGTTCATCACCCCTTCAAGCTGTACAGAAACCTCATCACAGTTAAAGCAACTCCAACCATTTGTAAGGCTCAGAAGAAAGCAAATTTATTGAAGAGGGACAATGGGGGGAGAATACCTTAACAATCTGACGCAAGAAGTAATCCCCGTATCGCTTAGCTGGTTTTGATTCAACCACGTGAACCATGTCCTGCATTAACAGAAACAGGTTGACTCAGATATGCCTGTTAGCAATCTAAAAAACCACTGACAACCCAACTTCGTGTGCCTTGGGAGATTTCTTGTCTGTTTATTCGCATAAACTAGCATCCAGTTTACATCACATAGATGCAAATAATATAGCATGGGATACTAGATTTGCCTAGTCTCTTGTGTGTGCAGTAGTTGTTTGAAGGCAAGGAGCAATTCATGCAACTGAGAATGTGCCAGCCAAAGTTTTCTCAGGCATTGCATTTTGTAAGATTCTGCTGCTCCAAATCCCAACCATACTTCAGGTTATACCATGATAATTCAATTGAGTTATCCAAACACCCCTTTAAGCTATTACACCTCAAAAATTCACACTGACCCTACAATGAGAAGGTTATGAACAAAAAAAAAATGCATAACTACAGACATACATCATCGATGTAGAAATCAATATCAGCATTAGAGATGGTTTTTCCATCAGAATCAACAGCATGAGTTTTATGCTTGTATGCCATCAGAATTGTCCTGCAAAGCAACAATCCCAGCAGACAGCTTAGAGAATCATAACAGATAACGCCTACTCAAGCCACCAAAGAAGTAGCAAAAATAATAATTCATGTAATATTAACCTCAGAGTTGGTTCATCAACTTCCATGTAAGTTGCAAGCTTCCCAAGGGAGATGGTCGAATACACATTCAGAAAGGTCCGAACACCTGATAACAACTGTTGTTGCTTGACTTCATATAGGAACAACTTCAACTGAAGTCTATAAGCATCCTGCAACAAATGCCAAGTTGACAAATCATCCATGAGAGAGAGAGAGAGAAGAGTATGGTCCCCAAAAAAAAAATGTGCTTCAGTGACTGATTGGATAAAAGACAGCAATTGTGGGCCAGGTCCCCTTAAGATGCAGGCATAGATGATATGTACATACCTGGTTGTAATTTACAAGAGGCTCCTCATAACTTGGAGCTGAGGGAGTAATGAACTTGGGACAAGCATATGAGAAGAGCTCATCATAGAGGGCAAATGCTTCATCATCGTATCTCTGCATTCTCAACATCTTCTCACCATACTTCTCCCTAAGTTGTGAGTGCACAGTCTCGTCAACAAGCTTCACTTGGGGACAAAGAGAGAGACAAATTGCAAGCAAGGCATACATCTGCTCATTCTTCTTCAGTATCTGTTCATATTGAGGAGATTTTTGGTGATATTGCTTAATCTTGTAAATGTACAGCAGAATCTTATTAAATTCTCGAATCGCCTCCACATACCTGTAAACATGCTAACAAATGTGTTAACCAACCAAAAAGTGCAAATCAAAATAATACGGACATGCAAGTTGTGTTTTTCTCTATGTGGTGTCTCTTAGAAGAGAAAATGATATGTCATGAAGCAAGAGCTTTACACACAAGTTCCGATAAGGGAATGGAAGTAAGTATGTAAGCCCCCACCAACAAACCTAGAGTTAATGGTAGGTTACTATGATAGGAAATTGATGATCCTAAGCGGATTCAATGGAATATTGACAATTACACCTTACTTGGTTGGATAATCAACTCTATGGAAAAACGCATCTACAACATGTCTGTGATACAGTTCCTCAGGTGTGAAGTGCTCTTACCCAGATGTACGCACATGCCCACAATGATGCTAGCATTTTCGAACTCTATCAGGATATTTCTTATGCCTCTCAAGAAGCTTTGGGCTTTACCGTTGCCGAATTTTTTGGGTAACTTCAGTCTCGCTGAGAGGAGTTAGCATAGTATGAACCATTAAGTGATTTTCCAGCTGTTGCCGCTTCTATTGTGTCTGCTCATCTTGCTCGCCAGCACACTTATCAATTTTTGATGGGTTTAAAACCTGAATTTGAGTCTCTTCGTATTCAGATTTTGAACACATCACCTATGCCATCCTTATAAAAAGCTTTTGCTACTATTGACAGCAAGGAGCGTCGTCATCAATTGATTCAACCGGTGGCTCCGCTTCCTTCCTCCGTTCTTGCCTCATCTTCAGTTTCAGATCAGATGGCTCTTACTGCCAAGTTTAGTTCTTGTGCTTCTAGTAACAAGGTTATTTGCCACTATTGTGGCGCCATTGGTCATGTCCAAGCACGATGCTTCAAGCTTCATCCTGAGTTGAAGCAACGCTTTGTAAGGACACGCCCTTCAAACCCTTCCCTTATTGTTGTTATTGCTAACACATCTAGTACTCCTCAGGCAACTCATTCTGTTGATCTTCATCAGCTTCAATCTCAGATTGGTCGCCTTCAAGAGCAACTTGGTTCATTCACTATCACGTCTCCAAGTGTCCCTTCTACTACCACACTCGCTACAAGTACTACTACAGCCTTTCATGTTTGCACTGCACCTACTTTGGTATTGGATTCTAGGGCCAATGATCATATGACCGGTGAGTTTTCTTGTTTATCCTCTCCTGTCTCTACTACCGCTCATACTATATGTCTTGCTAATGGGTCTATTTCACATGTCCAACATAAGGGTGATGTGTCCTTATCGTCTGATATTACACTTACTTTTGTCTTACATGTACCCTGTTTTGCTTATAATCTTCTCTCTGTTAGTTGCCTTGCTAAAAGCCTTCATTGTGCTATTATTTTCTTACCTACTCATTGCTTATTACAGGACCTGACTTCGAAGAAAATTTTTGGCAAGGGGTTTGAGCGCGACGGGCTATACTACTTCGAGGACCTAACACCTTTCCATCCTACCACTTCTGGCCTGCAAGTAGTTGTGCTACCTGAGCCGTCTTCCTATGTGTTTTCTTTTCATACTTTAGCCTTGTGACATACTCGTTTAGGACATGCAAACTTTAATTATTTATGTTTACATTTTCCATCACTTAATAAAGCTTGCAAGGATCATCAGTTTCATTGTGTTGTTTGTGAACTGTCTAAACATATCCGTACTTCTTTTATTCCTCGCATGTATCGCGCCTGTTGTATGTTTGCCCTTATTCACTCTGATATCTGGGGTCATTCTCCTATTTTGGCTTTTTATGGGCATCGCTATTATGTGACTTTCATAGATGACCATTCTAGGTATACTCGGGTTTATTTGCTTAAAAAGAAGTCTGATGTGCTTCCACTTTTTTTTCAACTTCTACAAATGGTCAAAACCCAATTCCACACCGTTGTACACAATATTCGTTCTGATAATGGAGAGAAGTACATCTCTAATACATTTCGCTCCCAACTTAATCAGAAGGGAATTTTGCAGCAACTCACTTGTACTCACACCACTAAACAAAATGGGATTGCTGAACGTAAAAACCGTCATATTATGTCTGTTGTCCGGTGTCTTTTTTGTGGGATGAATGTCCCTAAATCCTACTGGCATATGGCTGTGCTTACTGATGCTTACCTCATTAATCGAACACCTAGTCGGATTCTTCACAAGTTGACCCCTTTTCAATTACTTCGCCCAGATACCGTGTTATTTCCCCTTGTGCCTCGTGAGTTTGGTTGTACTTGTTTTGTTCAGGATCGTAGTTCTACTCGAACCAAGTTAGATAACAAGTTTCTTAAATGCATCTTCTTGGGCTAAGTTAAATGCATCTACTCGAACCAAGTTAGATAACAAGTTGACCCCTTTTCAATTACTTCGTCGTTTTTATCATCCTATGGATGTCACATTTTGCGAAGATATGCCATTTTTTGGCTCTAATCCCGTGTTACAGGATTCCGCCTCGAGTGCACCGCCTCCTGCTATGTCACCGAGTGCTCGCCCTGCTCATATCATTGATTCATTTGCTCCTTCATCATTGCCTGTATCTGCACCTGCTAGTCCTCCGCCATTACAAACATACTCTCGTCGCCCTCGTGCTCCGCCCCCTCCAGCATCTTCTTCGCCCTCAGGCCCAAGTACTCCCTGTACTATTCACTCCCCAGTTCCTTCCTGTTATCTAACCCGTGAACACTGTCCCCTTAATCAGTTTGGTTGGTTTAGTAGTACTAATCACCCTATTTCCCAACTTTTATGTTATGATGGCCTTTCAGCTTCTCATTGGTCTTTTCTTAGCAAGCTTGAGTCGGTCTCTATCCCGCGGTCTGTGTCTAAGGCTCTCCAGAATCCCCAATGGGTTGCAGCTCTGCTTTGGAGCATAATCACACTTGTGATCTAGTCTCTTTACCTTCTGGTGAGACGACTGTTCGGTGCAAGTGGGTTTTTACTGTCAAATACTTGGCTGATGGTACAGTGGACCGATATAAGGCTCGTCTTGTTGCTTTACCCAGGTTCCTGACAAGGATTTTGGGGCTATATTTGCACCGGTTGCTAAAATGACCACTGTTCGTTTGCTTATTTCCTTGACTGCCTCTTCTTCTTGGCCCATTTCATCAACTTGATGTCAAGAATGCTTTTCTACATGAGGACTTAAGACAATCTACATAGATCCTCCACCCGGGTTTCGGGCTGAGGAGGCGTATACTGGCAAGGTCTGTCGTCTGCGTAAGTCTCTCTATGGCTTGAAGCAATCTCCCTGTGTATGGTGCCACCGTTTCAGTTCTGTTATCCTATCCATGGATTTTATTCAGTGTCACTTTGACCATACATGTTTCATTTGTCGTCAGCCCAATGGTTAATGTATTATTTTGTTGGTCTATGTGGATGATATCATCCTTATCGAAGATAACTCCATTGGTATTGTTAAGGTAAAACAGGAGCTTAGTCGAGTATTTGACATCAAGGACTTAGTCCTCTCAAATATTTCTTGGGGATTGAAATAGCTCGTTCTCGCAGTGGGATATCATTGTCCCAACGAAAGTATACTTTGGATCTTCTTCGGGACACCGGTATGATGGGGTGCAAGCCTGCATCTACTCCTATGGATCCAAATCTGAAACTTTCGACTGAGTCTGGTGAGTTGCTTTTTGATCCATCTCGCTACCAGAGATTGGTAGGACGTTTGATCTATTTGACTAATACACGACCAGATTTGACATTTGTTGTAAGTGTGGTTAGTCAGTTTATACATTTACCTCGTACTGCTCACCTTGATGTTGTTCACCACATCTTGAGATATCTCGAGTCATGTCCAGGTTTAGGTTTATTCTTCAATGGTGGGATTCAGATAGGATTGTCCTGTTTTACTGATGCAGACTATGCAGGTTCATTGACTGACAGACGTTCCACTTCTGGGGTATGCACTATCCTTGGTACCTATCTTCTGACATGGAAAAGCAAAAAACAAGCAGTTGTTTCTCAATCATCTGCTGAAGCTGACTACCAAGCCATGGCTCATGGGATATATGAGTTACTATAGCTTCAATCCATTCTTACTGAGTTAGGCTTTGAGGAGAATAACTCCTCCAAGCTATTTTGTGACAATAAGTCTGCCATCTTACTTGCCTCTGACTCTATGCTTCATGAGCATACTAAACATATTGAAGTTGATATTCATTTCATCCGGGAAAAGGTTCGAGCTGGCATTGTATGTCCTTCATTTGTTCCATCTTCTGATTAGACTACCGACATCTTTACCAAATCTGTCGGACCATCCCTACTTCGATCTTCCATTGACAAGCTGGGTTTGGTTAACATCTTTGATCTAGCTCGAAGGGGAGTGTTGAAATACAGAATATTGTTTATTTAGGAGATCCCGTGATTTCTATAAATTACAGTTATTTAGGGATCTGATTTTTAGGATTTGATTGTATAATTATTTAATTCTTTTTTCTTGTGTATCTTATATTGATTATAAATAGACATGGTCTCACCCAAATTAGGGTAAGCCAATATTGTACAACTTTCTTCTCAAGATACACTGACAGTAAAATAGTATCATAGATACAGAGATAGGACAGTGGTTGACCTTTTGCTCCTGTATAAGGAAAATTAAATGCCACTAGCTGAGCCAATTGTAAATGCCAAATCACCAATAAAGGCAATTGAAAAGAACTTACAACACCAGAGAAACACCAAACTCAAGTACTACACTTGACTACCAAATCACACAAAGTGAATGCTAAAAAACTGCAGGTGAGTTCATCACATGTAGGCCTATTTATTTATCATTATTACTAGTAATTTATAAAGTAAGAATATTCACGTGTTCATCAAATTTTATTATTGAAATACTGCATCCAGGTGATCAAATACTGCATCCTGGTGATCAAATACTGCATAAAAGTAAGAAGTTCAAGTGCTTAGTTTTTACTAAATAAATGTTGGGCTCTTGGTTTTCAAAGTCATGTTTTGTCTAAGCAACCAACGCCTACAGCATTAAACATGATGGATAGACGTACAAACATACCTCCGTAGCATAAGATTCGCAAAACCATAATGATATATGGTGGTTATGTGGCTTCCAATAACAATGGTGTAGACACCTTGTTGACTTATGTCAATGGGAAGTAAACACTTTAAACCAGTATGATAATCACCCAAAAGACAATGGACTCGTAGCAATCCCACCATGCTGAAATACCCCAAGACCTTCAAGACATTGCTTCCACCATCGTAATCATATCCATCAGTTGAAGTGAACTGTTCAAGGCCTTCCTTCTCCTGCTCTAGGATTTGAATGATCATGGATTTCTCAACAAGTGCTTGCAAAAAGTTGAGCACACCATACACATTCCAAGCCTATAAAAAATTGAAAATGAAAATGTTAATGTAATCAAGCACTCTCCTATTAAGGCAAAGATATTGTGTAACTGAATTATAAAGAACGGAAATAAAAATACAGACATAAATTACTGAAAGACTCTTCCTGCTATAGCCTCTCAATAACCCTTAATGTAGAAATATAAGTCAGAATAAAATATTAACTTCGCAAAAAGAGGATGAATTGAGCCAAAGATTAACCACCTCTCCACCATTAAAACCTAGCATCTATAAACAATAAACACCAATGGCTCTCTCCCCGTGTGAGTAAAGCATTTACAAAACCACATCTCTCCACTCCAATCACCCACACTTGCGAGCAAGGATCCTCTAGAGTGATTTTTCCCTAAAGTTTCCTAGAGTGTTATATTGTGTGGTTGAGATTTACTGGCAAGTCACATCAATTTTTCTGATGTGACTTGCCAGTAAATCTCAACCACACAATGTAGCACTCTAGGAAACTTTAGGAAAATTTCACTCTAGAGGATCCTTGGTGCACACTTGCAGGACATTTCCTGTATCTAGGGTATTTATGCGTAACACAAACACATGCATGCATGTATATCTATACTATTATACGCAGCCAGATCCTAGATTAGAGTTCACCAACATTATCAGATTACCAAGTTATCCTTCCTTTTTCATAGTTATTCCATAGACAAGCCAATAGACTTGACAGTAATTCTCCATAAGTACGTCCGAGCATGCCAAGTACCAAAGTTCAGACTCCACATACAACATAGCAATCAGTGGGACATCTAAGCTGACAAGTAATATAAGTAATCAAAAATAAAACTAACCTGAAGCTTTGGTGCAAGGAGAAGGGGGAATTTCAGTGCAGCACATAATCAGTATAACAAATTTCTTGCGTTTCTCTCTCTCTCCCTGGATTCTAAAATAAACTTGGACATTTTCACAAAGCAAATGAAACTCAAAAGTTATCCCCTATTCTTTGTGACCTACTCCAATTATCACCTTTAACAAATTTATACCTACTCAAATAAATTCAACAAAGCTGTATTTGTCTTGCCACTTCAACCCAATACCAAAACTACACACCAGATTGGTAGTAACGAGGTATAGACATCATCAGCTTAACATTTTATCCCCCAAAAAAATTGCCATTCAAGAGAATATTCACTTTAATTTGAACTCTGAAAAATCAAAACCAGAAGAAAACACTCACAATTCGAGATCAATACCTGATCAAATTGCCTGAGAGTTGCAATCTCCTGCTCAGTCTTGTTCTTCATCTTCGCCCGATACTGACAAAACGACTGAAACTGGTACACAAACTCATCCACCATGTCCCACAACCATTGGTTCGGCAATTGCATATTCACCACCCCATGCAACACCACCTAAACTCAATAACACAAAACATATCAAATTGCATATACATGCCCCATAATAAATACATATTATTCGCAATTAGAACACCTACCATCCTAAATTTTTCATCCAATTCAAATTTGATGAAAAAATGGCCAAATTTGTGCTCCAACCATTTCATCAAAACTGTATCAAATAAAAGGAGAGATATATTTTTCACCAAATTTACAAAAGATCATATTTTTGATCAAATTTGATTAAAAAAATAGAGTGAGGATTGGAGTGTTCCACATGATCAAGCTTTTAACAAAACTTTCACCCAAATTTGATGAAAAAAAAGAAACAAGGATTGGAGATGTGCCTGAAAGAGACTGCAGTAATTGTCCCAGGAATCGATCCTCTGCTTGAGAGTAGGTGACAAGCGAGCGTAGAGGTGGCGGAACCACATCTCGCGGTAGAGCAAGCAGAAGACGTGGTCGTTGTCGACGAACTTAGCGACGGCGTCGACGGAGGGCCAAGGTGTGTCCTTGAACATGCGCTCGCTCAGGGTCTGGAATGAGGTCTCGTACATCTGGTGGATCTCGTACACGTTCTTCTCTCTGATGTGCCTGTACAGGTGCACCGCGAACGACTTCACCGAGTCCGGCACCACGTTTGGGTCGTAGCTCAGTGACTCCGCCGTCTGGGAGTACCCGGCGGTGTCGTCGTAGTCGTATGAGGCGGCCATTGTTGAAGAACTTGTCTGGTTTCTCTCTCCAGTTGCAGAGAGAGAGAGAGAGAGAGAGAGAGAGATTAGGGTTTATGGAGAGACAGTCGAAGAGAGACAAGTGTTTTGTTTTGCCCTGGGGAGAGAAGAGACGTCAATAGACCCATAGATGGGTTTTCTCATTCGGGTGGGTTGAACCCACTTTTGCAGATGGGTTGACTTTTAACCCGAATTTCAATTGGACCAAATAACCCGATTTTGCTCTATTTTTTATTTTTTATTTTTTATGTGAATGTACAATTTTATTCATTGATGTAGGTTCCCATTTGATAATTTTGTGCTTTCTTAACTTAATTTTTGAAATTTAAGTTTTTTTTTTAACAGCATATATGCGCTTAAAAAAGCTAATTTTTTAGCTGGATTTGAGTTTTTTTTCCTTTTCTTTTAATTTGCAAAAAATAAAAATTTACCAGGCAAACTCATGGTAACTGTGAGTTGTTCTTAGCAAATTATTTGTTACTAACTAATCAAATCTGGAAATAAAGAGAAATTGTGAAATTTGTTTTTCATAACAAACCTCCAAGGCCACCTTCACCATCTCAGTTGATACATATCAATACACAATCAGAAAACTACATGCTTCTATAAACGTTAAGCATGCAACTCTAATTTTAGCTGGCTATTATAACATGACAGAAGCACAAGAACATCGATGATGACTAGAACATACATATTATCAGTCAATTAACAAAACTCTGAAATCAAAGTACCGAACAAGCTCAGCAAGAGGAAACAAAATGCTTCCCTTTAGAAGAATCAGGTTTGTAGTACACACACACTCACACACGAGAAACGTATGATTTCCTCTAGTAAACTCTTTACAAATTATGAACAATACCTAGAACTGATGCAACAGCCCCCTCGTTTAACACCACATTCAAGTTGCGTCAGTAGCATTAACTCAGTCATAAAATTGACGCCTTCAATATTCCAGGATTGAACTTCAAATACCAGTGAAAGCCGAAAGTTGGGTAAGTTGCAGTCCTTTGATGCATTTGCAAACCAGTTTGTGTGTTCAAACAAGATGGACACTGCTGCTTTGATGTCTGTGACTATAGATGCATAAACAGTTCTGATCAAGAAGACTCTTCTAGAAAGAAGAGAAGAACAATTCTTCCCAACCGTGTCGGACAAAACTTGACTTAAGGATGCAATCACACTCTTTGCCTGTTCAAATTTGTGCCGACTGGATGAAGTACTTCCTGGTAGTCGTCAGGTTCATCCTCCTCGTCAGAGGATAGCAAAGATGATCCCATCCATGTCTTAAAACCTTCATTAACATGCCTCTCCACCTCTGGTGTGACTTCCGCAGGATATGCTTCCAACATTTCTAACCCAAGATTCCGACCAGAAAAATTGCCCTCACCAAGAATTACAGCCGCTTTACTTCTTAGGAAGAAAGCAGTCCCCCCATAGAGAATGACCAATCCCCACGATGCAATCTCATAGCACCAAAACAAAGCCAAGGAGCAGCTGCTCCCTAATGTGACGAGGCTTGAGCCAAGGATTATTGCAAGAAGACCAAAAATGATGGCAAAAGCAGCATTTAGTACGGATAAGCAGCGCACTCCACCTGTAAATTATACAGAAAAATATTGAAGGCACTTGCAATAGAAGTTCATGAAAATCAATGTTGTAGCTAGTTTGTGGAATTTTAGATTCATCATTTTCATTTTGGATGGGAACAAAATTGCCACAGGTGACTTTCATTTCTCACAATACAATTTTTAGCTGAAGAGAAACACATGTAGCCACATAATGAAGTTAGTTTTTCCAGCAAGTGAGATGCTGAGAGCGGTTTCCCCTGAGATCTTTATTTCCCTCATTTTATTATTAATTTGACGACAATGACGATGACGACGACAACAACAACAATCATTTCTTTACTTCTACATTTCTTGTATAGTCTCAACACTCTTAACATCTGGAATTCCGTTTTTGGGGTACCTGAAGCTTTTAACAACTAAATGTTTCATTCTTATGCAATTTTCTCCATTGAGTTGATCAGTATTCAATGATCAACCAGACAGCAACATTGGAAAAGCACTTTGATAGATAACAGACATCCCAGTCTAAATGAGCAACATCCTGTTCATCTTCCTCTACAAACAATGGATCAAAGATGACAAAAAAGATCACTATTGGGTTCTCTCCAAGTTAAAGGTTTAGTGAAGTAGCAAGCTCATCTGTAAACCTTTATATACTCAAGACTGAATTATCCCTCAACAGCTCTAACTTGGATCAACTAAAACTGGAAAGTGCAAAGATTAAACTGCATCCTCAGAGAAGAACTTTACACGATCAGACCTCTTCCTAATCCTAGGTATGGCAATGAACTCCAACCTAAGAATGGATAAGTGACACGACACGGACACACGGATACATGGACACACGGATACGTAAATTTTCAAAAAATACAGGACACGACACGTTGGAGACACGTTCAAACACATTTTTATATTTTTATTATATGTATATTTTTAAATATTTAATATATATTTTATGTCAAATATATAATTTTAACAAACTTATCAACCTTAGGTATGCTATTTTAGTAAAAAAATTAAAAATTATAATTTTTTTGAAAAATATAGTACTCAACGAGTCAGTGTGTCCCTAGAGTGTTCCCAACGTGTTCCTAACATGTCCTCAACGTGTCCAAAGTGTGTCTAAAGTGTCCCAACGTGTCCAACTCTTTCCAGCTCAAGGTATGAGTTGAGTCCTGGTACGGAACTCCGTTAGAAAAGAGCAAATGGATTCCTCTTTTTATTTATGATAATTTGGGTGATGCTCTCTCTTCCTTCCCCATCCACGAGGGCAATTGTCATAGCTCCTCGCTCGAATCAAAACCTTTCTTTTTTATGCACAGAGGGAAAGATCACTCCCTATGAAGCACGGACACGGACACGAACACGCATACGGACACGGACACGGACACAGGACACGGCAATTTCTAAAAAATGGGGACACGGACACGGCAGGGGACACGGCAAATTTTTTAATTTTTTTATAAATATTTTTATTTTAATACATATTAATTATTTTTTTTATTTATTATATTGTCCCGTACGTGTCCCCGACGTGTCCCCGTATCCGACACCGCCACGGCTTCCATTTTGCCGTGTCTATGCTTCATAGATCACTCCTAAATGCAACCATGATCTTATACATGATACCAGCAGACGCACCTTGGTACTTCCGTCCGCCAATCAAGGCTAGTGGAGCGAAGGGAATCCTGAGACAATTATGAGGGCCCGAGCGGGTATTCCTTAGTTTACAGGAAGTGTGACCCTTATAACGAGCTATTCGAACTATGCTCATCCGAGACAAGCCTGCTCAGCCAATTCTTTCTATTTTTCCGAGGAAGCATGGTCAAGTGCCAAAGACTTTGACTAACTTTTAGGATAGAATTAAAGCAAGAAAAGAAGACGGGCCTTAGCCAATGGCTTCATCGATGGGTCCTTCCTGTCAATCTGGTATTTTTTTTATGACTCCGACTGTGGTTTACCTGAGATTAGACCGAATCTCCTCCTGCTACTCAACCACCTCGGTCTGACCTGACTTTGACCGCTTTCTGATCGCTGGTCAATGAAAACCCTACATCCTTATCCATTTCCTTTGCTGGCTAGTTGCCCCACGTGTCCGGAGCATGTCCATGTCCGACACGTGTCGGACACCTGTACGCGACCTCCGGAGAGGTGTCTGTACTTCATAGACTCCAACCATTGCTATACTGAAAGAATAGGGAACACTGCCAACATTTGACATACATATATAGTATAAAAATCCATTAGTCTTTCCTCAATTCATACCATTCTACTTACTACTCGCAAAATCACATCAATATTTCCAGTTCAATAGCCTTCCATTTCTAGAACCCACCCATATTAGAATTGAGAATCTTATAAGTACCTATACCCTTTTCTAAGCCAAGAAATACCACATAGAAGTTCTATAGTACATAAACACATATTGCAGAATATATAGGTAACCTTCATTCACAGGTACTTTCATAGGATCTTCATTCATAGGTACCTTTGTATATTTAAAAAATATATGTAAGAACTGAAACATGTATTTGTATTGATAAATAAAAAAAATAGGCAAAACGGGTGCAACACGAAGACTTCCTAGGGGGACACCTATCCTAATATTACTCTCTCCCAAGAACACTTAACTACGGAGTTCTGATGGGATCCGGTACATTAGTGTTGGTATGATCGCATCCATAAGTACTGAAATATGTATTGTTCCTCCATTCATCAAGTATTGTCTTAAATCTTTCCCCTTCTTGAACAAATCAATCAAGACAACACACCTTAATCTCTGAATATCATCCAGTCTTGTAACCTTTCTTATATTTTATCTTTTACTAAAGTATCATCAACTCCTGAGAGACACCAATATGGAAAAATCACTAATGGCACCAACCAACATTGCGGAATTGAGTTATTCAAGCTGTAAAAGAATTAACGAAACATACCCCTTTTTGACGCACAGTAGTTATTCTCAACAACCTTTAAACACCAATGTCTTGTTGGAGCAGTGTAAGCAACAGTAATTCCTGGAGCATATTAAAAAAAAAATCAAAAATTAAAGCTAAAAGCATAGCCAAAACAAAACTTCATGAAGATTGCATACACTCCAAATAAAGCAATATCCAATGGGTCAAACATTGCTCAAAGAAAATATTTTAAAGAAAGGAATTCTTAAAAAGATTAGCCCAAAGAAAAACCATTTCGGTTTTGGCACAGGATTCTCTATGTCAACTAGCTTGTTTAGAAAAGTCGTGCTTCTCATTTTGAAAGGACCAAAGCTAATTAAGACGAGCCAAAAACATTTGCAAGCTTCTTTTGGGTAGAGTAACGGTATTTTCAAAAACAATAAAGTCAACAGTAAGTTTGATATTGAAGCGCACATGTAAAATCGAAACCTATCTCATCGTGAACACAACATGAGCAAGGTAATAAAATAAAATCAGATATGTACCAACCTAAACCAAATAAAAAAAAAAATCATTTTTCCATTTCCAAACACGTCCCTTGTATATATTTACCAATAGTTCCAATACTCAATCCATGTATAGTCATCATAATTGATATTCATAATAACCAGTATCATCAAGTCCTCATAACGCTCAATAAATACAGCCAAAATGCAACAAAGATCGTCCAACAGCCTGTTTGGATTGGGTGATTAGGGAGAAAAGAAAAGAAATACATTTCTCTTTGTCCATATCACTGTTTGGATAAGCAAAGTGGACAGAAATGGGATGAAATGGAGAGAAACTCATTTATCTCGTAACCCTTATATTGAATCTCTCCAAAAGTGGAGAGATTGGAAGAGAAAAGAAACCAACTAAATTCTATATTGATATTGTTATAATACCAAAATTTCCCTTTCAAATACTGAAGAAATAAAAAGACTACTACTTATAAAAGGTTATTTTGGTTATATAACATGATATCATTTCTTTTCATTATATATATATATATATATATATAGCTATAGCATAACCAAACAAGATAGAATAGAAGGGAAATCAATCTCTTTTCTTTTCTTTTCTCTCCTATTTATCCAAACAAGAGGAAGAAAAACCACAATCTTTTCATTCCTTTTCTCTCCTAGCCTAGGTTGCCAAATAGTGTAAATCCCTAGTCAAATTTAACTAACATGCTAGAACCATTTTACAATTTCTGTCATTTATTTCCATTTCTACCAATACCAATCAGCAACAAAAGAAAAATAATCTCCATGAAAGCTTAGAATTCACAAACCTGCCAATAGATAAACCGCGGAGGCGAAGAAGAGCAATGTGGAAGGAACGAACAACACCATCCAGTAATAATCCACAGTTTCTTGATCCGTAAGATAAAACGCACTCGAAAAAAGATCCTCAGATTCCCCACCGCCGTCGCCGTCGCTGGCGTTAATTGATAGAGGCTGGAGCCGCAAATCGACGCAGAAGGGCCGCTTGAGGCCGTCGCTGGGAAACACTATGCTGAGGCTAATCCAAGTGGAGATTACAATCGCGAGTGAAATGAATGCCAATCCAGCCATCGACAGAGGCCTCTGTAATCGAAGCCAAGCTCTGTCCTCGTCGCGGAGACTCTCGTACTCGCGCTTCGGCATGAACGCTTGCCGAAGGGCGTCTCCGATTATCGCCATTTCCTGGGATTTTTTTAACCAAAACCCTTGGGTTCTGGAAATTTGTTAGGGTTTCGAAGATTGGTTCGAGAAATTGTGAATGATTTAATCTGATCGATTCGAGAGCTAGGCCTAGGATTAGCGGACGAACACACTTGATCTGTGAGGCTTAAACAAGTTATGATCAACGCCAGTAACAGGATTAGGGTTTTGAAAATGCGAAGATTTCAAAGCCCTAAACATGGATGTTTTCTGTGAAGAGAGGTTGGATTTGTTGAGTTTGGTAAAGTTGTTTGCTTTCTCACTTTGCCTGGAATTTTAATCCATTCACGCAAAATTTGTTCGCTCACCTCACCTGCAGTACAACTGTCCTTTCACCATATCAGGAGAGATTATTAGGTGGTTTTAGGGCATTCTTGCGTGAGCATCTCTAATGACTGTGTACTCGTCTTTTTCCACGCCCTTGTTCGAAATGTATGAAATGAAGGTCTTAGGCCAAGTTTGATATGATTGGAAAAAGATAAAAAGTCAAAAAGTCACTATTCTATTTAAGTCACATCATCTTATTTAAGTCACATCATCTTATTTAAGTCATATCACCTCTCTAACACATCACTTCAAACCCAACCCAAACCCAACTCATATTTCATAAAAAGTCAAAAAGTGTACTTATTTAGTCTTCCCAAACTAGGCCTTACTATTCGGACTCTCGTGGTTCTGAATCTACTTTCACAAGTGTAATGTAAAACTGATAAACACCAAAGAGTCTAAATCCGACAAATCTTTTTGAAAAATCGATTTTAAATCAAATAATGCCAAAATTGAACTGTTTTACCAGATACAGAGTCACCCCTAAATATTTTTTATTTTGGAGAAATTTAGAAAATCTTAACTCGTGCTGAAGGCCACGTGTTTGCCATTACCAAAAGTTAACTCGGCTCGGGAACTTAGGTTCGAGAGGGAAATGTCATGAATTGAGTACCCCCGCTCGCCCGATCAAAGATCGACCTCTACTAATCATGATATAATTTTTTTATAAATATTATGTGTTCTTATTCCGGTTATTAAATTAGCCTTACAATGTAACGCGCATAAGTAAGTATAGATTAGTTTGCAAGACTTGTAACAATTCAACTCGTGTTTGTTTGCAAAAATTGTTTGAATTTGCCACCTCAAATGGGCTTAAAGATGCAGATTTGCCACCAAACATAGTGGACTTAAAACATGATTTGCCACTCAACAAAGTGGGCTTAAAACGCACATTCATTGAATCGTTCCAATTCAAATAACAAGCCTTCATCCACAGGCATTCAAGTAGTTTAGCATTTAAGCACATAACTCCATAGCAAGCATGCGAGACATAACAACATGGCAATCACACTCATGCAAATATCCTAAAGCATAAAAACTCATCTAGTACTCCAAGCTAGGAAAATATGTGTTAGAAAACAATGAATGATTTCTAACTATATAAGATGCATAATACAACACGTGTAATATGCAATTTAATAGGCTCAGCTACTAATATGGCATATGGATCGATTTGAACAACATGCGGTTAAACACGTATTCAAATAAGTATTGAAATTGCAATGCAGTTTGAATGATGTGCCGAGCCTCGGTGCACGCAAGACGAATGAATGGATGTAAGCATGCGATATGCTAATCTAAAATATGACCCTAATCTAACCATCGAAAACGATTAAATAAAAGGGAGAAAGACGTGGGGTTGGAAGACATACATCTATGCACACACACTTATTACAACATTACGTCATCGCGAAGGAGGGTCCGAATAAATAAAAGCTAACTAGCCACACTAATTAAGTTAACTAATTATTACAAAACTTGAAACTAATTAACTATTCTAGTTAATTAATTATTACAAACCGAATTTGAATAACTAGTTAAACTAACTAATTATTTACAACACTTAATTAGCTACAACTAATTAATTACAAAACGTATTTAATCTAATGCTAATTATTAGCTAATCTTAGGAACTGAGGGATGCAAGCATGCTTGGTTCTTCATCCGAAAAGCCACTACCTTGCTGCTGAATGCCTTTGTTTGCACATTTGAGCATTGATAATGCTGCAAACTTCTAGAGCACCTTTGATCCACTTTTCTAACACATTGTGCAAATTTCATTGGTGGCCGACAGGGGGCCGGTCAGTTACCAATGGTGGCCAATCAGCCACTAGTGATGGTTGTCGGCCACTGCTGGTTTGAATCTCCTTGCTGCAACAAAGAGCAAAACAGTATATTCTCAAGGGTTGTTTGCACACTTTGCCTCTCCTTTTCGTAGGGAAATCAAATGAGGGACAAGCTTTGATTCACAAACCATCAATCAAGCAATTTCATTGCATGATGGCTTGTGAAACCAATTGTGCAAGTTCAATAAATGCACAACAAGACTCAAATGACCATCACCCTATCATACATGATCAAGGGCAATGGAGACTAAGGAGAATGACACATTTCATCACTTTTGAGTATGAATATCCCATTTACCTTGTGTTCAAGTTAACGTCTGATTTGAACACATGCAATGCAACACAAAAAGATGCTTATCTTGTCACTTTTACTTGCCACTTTTGTTTACTCATTTTAATTACCAAATCATTCATTAATCAATTAAGTCCAATAGTGAGTGTCCTCTAATGGAAAGAGGGCTCAAACCCCAAGTTGCTTTGGGCATGAAAGAGGCATTACACTGTTGGTAATGAACCCCCGAAAGGACTAAACCATTAGGTGTATCACCTCCATTTCACCCTTAGGAAAACAAGTGGTTTGAAACCACTTTCAAAGCAAATCAAAAGTGAAGAATTGAGGGGGATTGCAGAGATTGATTAAGTGCTGGGAATGAATGATAAAAGTACTAAAACATGCAACCAACTCAAGCCAATGATAGTTAAAGCCTTAAAACACTAAGCTAGTGAAGGAATTAACACTACAACCATGCCATGCAAGGCTCAAATGAAATAAATAACCAAAAACAGAGGCAAAACAGTCCTAAATATGGTCTAAAACATGATGGACTTAAGTCATAAAAAGCCAAAACATTAAGCTAATACATGGAGTTACACTACAATTATGCAAAGCAAGACTCATGCAAACCAATCAGCCCAAAACAGAGCTAAAATAGGTCATTTCAGAGGCTAAAACATATTGGACATGAGCTAAGTTAAGCTAGAAAAACATGCTAGCATGTGAAACTAACTAAGCATGCAAACAAGACACAAGGAGGGGAGACTAACCCTTCCAATTTTGGACTTCAAAATGAGTTTTTTGCCACTGAAAAACCTCCGAAATTCAGTGGTTAAAAGGCTCAAAAAATTTGATTTGAAAGTGATGAAAAAAATGCACAAAAGCTTTACAAACTAGTAAGCAAGAAAGGTGAACCACTCCGTAACCAAATAAGGGGTCAAACCACCAGTTTTAAGCCACAAAAATAGAACTTTTCTCAGTTCAAAACCAAACCCAAATTAGTAAGAAAAGACAGTAAAACAAGCTTGCGAAACAAAGTAAACAAAACAAGTAAACTACCTCTTGAAGCAAAGGGTAATTCTAGGCACAAAACCAAGCTAAAACTACCTTCTAAAGCTCAAGGAAGATCCCAAGTAGCCTCAGCGCAAAGGTAAAAGGATTTGATTTAGGATGTGTATGCAAAAGTGTAGAGAAAACAAGCACTTAGGCACAAAAATGTAAGAGCGAGAGAGAGAGAGAAATCTAGAGAGAGAGGTTTTTGCTCTGAATTTTCTAACCCTCAAAAATGGGAGAGGAACCCCCCTATATATAGAAAAACATGCATTGAGCTTAGAAACATCATATCATACACGTGTAAGGAGATGCAGCTAATTGTGCTAACAGTTGGCACAGTTGGTTGTCAACAACTATAACAAATATCTAGAAAAAGAGACTGGTGGCCGACCCGCCACACCAATGGCCGACAAGCACAAGCCATGGCCGACAGCCTCTGGTGGTGGCCGACAGGTCACCACAAGTTCCAAGCACCAAGTTTTGATCCAAAACAAGGCACAGAAAGGACAAGGTTTAAAGGCTCAAAGACAGGGCGTTCCGTCGAAGACTTCGGGCACTCAAAATGAACACAAACAAACACAATCATCAAATGCACAGGTAATGACATCCAAGTCTTGAGGACAGTCAAAAATGGGGTGTCTACAATGACAAATGTTATAATAATATTGTTATTGTTATAATTTAGCAATAAATAATAAATTTATAGTAATAGTATTCTAATGGTCAAATGTCATTTTAGCGTAATCAAACATAGAAACTGTGTGTTCAGGTCGATCGGTCGATTGACCGAACGATCGTCCCGAACACATCAATTTTTGTGTTTAGTTTTACAAAAATAGCGATTTTGCAAAAAAAAAAATTTGTTTTGCTGGGAGGGAGAGAAGTTTTTTCAACTGGACTAAAAATATGTTAATATTTAATAATGTGACATATTTAATACTTGTTATGCTTTCTATTAAATTTGACAATAGAAATAATATCCGTTATATTTGACAAGAAGAATGACATGCCATTAGAGATTTTTTTATTATTAATACTCTTGCCAAATTATAACTTTGATAACTCTATTAAAAATTCTCTTATTAAGTTGTTTTAAAATTTTAATAAAAAATATTAGATTTATTATTCCGATCATCACATAATTTTTTGTTTGGACAGTGAGGTAACAAAATAAACGATATTAACCCAAGGGGTCGGCAACTTGGTAAAGGCCTGGGAGTTAAGATCTCAGGTCTCAGGTTCGAAACCTCTTGGGTCAATCTCCTGAGCGTAGTGCAATTTGTTAGGAGGTTAGTCTCAAATTATTGTTACCACAACTCTTGGTGTGGGTTTAATACTCATCCGCTACACGAATCCGGACTTAAGTGAAACTTGTCGTAGGAGGTTGGGGCAAGTTCTCAAGTTATAATCTCGTAACTCTAAACGGACAACAAGATACCTTGGTGATCTCTACAAGGGACACTGCCCTGAACTTGCAAAAGAGTGGGAAGATTTTCCTGTAACAAAATAAAATAAAATAAAATAAACAAAATTATTGTATTTTCTAATTATTTTATTTTAGGTAAGTAAACAAGCAAAGTATGTGAAAAGAAGAATACGTGTAAGATTTTTTTTTTAATATTTTAAGAATAATTTTGGTATTATAAATATTTTATAACCAATCGAATTTTTTTCACTAAGACCATCTCTAATCCTTCATCAGATTTTTCATCAAATTTAAATTTGATGAAAAATTAATAAAAACTGTGTTCTAATGTTGATATCAAACTAATATCAAATTCAGGATATCTCAGATCTTTCATCAAATTGACGATGCCTACGAGCATCTCCAACGGTTCATTATAATTTTTACCAAATCTGAGTAAAAAAATCCTGATTTTCTCAATCT